TTTCTCTCTTTCGGTTTCCTTTCGTCTTGGGCTTTATTTAATTTTTCATTTGATTGCAATATTGATGATGTTAAATCTTCCTACTTCTCTACTTCTGCTCTTCTTCTGCATTTTCTCCTTGTCTTTCTATTTTTTCTCCTTTTTCTCTTTTTTTCTTTTCCATTCTCTTTTTTTTTTTTTTTTTCTACTTCTTCTTTTCCTCTTTCTATTTACTTTATACTTTTTCATCATTCTTCTTCTCTCTACTTATTTCTCTTTACTTCTGCTTCTTTTCCCTCTTATCTTTTACTTCTCCTCTTTAATTAATTTTTTTTCTCTTCTCTTTCTAACCACTAACGGACTAACTTACTCTGTCTCTCTTCGCGACTCGTCTTACCCCACCGCGTGTTTCATCAACCAATTTAATCATATTATTCCTGAGAGAAGTCCCCTGGTTTCGGTGAGGGAAAAAAGGTGCACGATCTTCGGGAAGGGCGAGCTGGAAGTGGCCCTTTGGGTGGAGAGGGAGGTGGGGGCAGAGGGAGTGTGGGGGGGTAAGGTGAGGGGGGAGGGGAAGGGGGAAGGGGATTGACGGGGCCGAGTGGAAACAAAGGGTTAAGTAGGAGGGGCAGGAGGAGGTTATAGTAGGGAGGAGGGAAGAGGAGGGGAGGAAGGGGGAAAAGTGGGAACGGTTGTGGCAGGAGGGAGAGAAGTGGGGCTGGGGTTGGAGAGTGGGTAGTTAGCAAGGGGCGAGGGTTTCGGGAGAGGGGCGAATATTGAGGATAATAAAAGCAGGAAAGGGGGAATTGGGAAAGAGAAAGTAGGATGTGCAAGGGAAGCTAATGAGTGCTATCGTGTGCGAGCGACTGTAGATTGCGAGGGTGAGACGCCGATGCAGAGGACGTGGTCGTGATAGGCGGAGTGTTAATTATGTGGCCGCTGGTTTCCATGAGCGCTGAGCGGGTAAGCGGAATTGAGGGAGAGAGACAATGATGCTCTGTCGTGACGAAGGTCTGTTGATCTGAGGATGTAGTTGTCGATATACGTCGTTGCTAGTGCGTAGGAAAAACGAGCGATTCTTATGACCAGGTATATGCAGGGCTCTACACTTTCGAGGGTGAACAAAGACGGGTTAATTCGAGAACATGAGGTAAGACTATTGCAAGACGCATGGATCTTGGGGGTAATCAAGGTCTCCATCATCTCCTAGAAGACGTCTACTCGGCGCGAGCCGATGATAACTAATTCGTGAGCACGGGAGCTGCGATCTCTATATTAATTGCCTGTCAGGCTCTCTGTTCTGTAGGGATTTTGGAGGACGTTCTTCGTGTGAGCGATTGGATCCTGCGAGTAGCGAGAGCCGTCGATCACTGGCTCAGCCCTAGGATCAAGTGGACAGGGTAAGTATTGCTCAGAGTTCTTCATGTTCGAGATCGGGTACACGCCTTTCGACCCCTTCCGCCCGGCTATCATCTGTTCCCTGGCCTAACCAGGCGCCGTCGAACGCAACGAACGAACTCAATGAAGTGTATGTGACCAGGGTAGTCGGCGTGGTGGGACTGAACCTGTTATCGCGTTGCAAGCACTTTCCCATCTTCATGAGAAGTTACATACATTATCCAGCGTTCTGATGATCGATACTAGAGATCTACTTAGATGTAGTCACATAGTGGCCGCTAACGCGCTATGCCTTCTTATCGCGCGGGTTCATGCACGACTCGGCCGCCTCGTGGCCACCGCAGTGTGCTTAGGCGTATGCATGGGTCATGGAGTTCTGCTTCGACACGTGCTTGCTGATGCTCGTAGGACAGTATGAGAGATATTTCGCGTATGTGTCGGCGTAATCAGTGAGGCTCCTGTTGCCTGGCGGAGGTGTAGGTCGGTGTAGTTACGAGATGGTCGTTCTGTGAGCGGTGTGTTCTAGGTGGGCGCGCGTCGATTACGACGAGACAGTCTGCTACGCGACCGTGGCTATATCGAGGGTCCTCTGGTAGGTTGATCGGAACTATAGTGGCACCAGCGCACTCTGGAGAGCGACCTAGATGATGAGCTGTCAGGATAGGCTCATGCGGCGCAGGAGGATTAGTTGTAAAGACTCATGCGGTCCACAGCTGCGCCGCGGTTGCGAGGTCAGGAGTATATAATGTAATATCGCGGTTGTGAGTAGCGATCTGTGCTATGACTCCAAGAGTCTAGAACGAGTCGCACTGAATTGTGCTAAGATAGCGGTGTGTCTCGGTGCGGGTATGATAGACTCACGCGCGTCTACGATACGATAGTAAGACGGAGTAGCTTAGGACGCATAGCAGGCATGAATTCGATGTGTCAGTCAGTTACTCTATATGACGCGCCAGAGTGTAGAATGATTATCGCACTATAGAGCGTTAGCAACGGATGATTGCCACTATGCTGATGTGGTAGGATATCGTGAGCGCGTGCGAGTAAGGTATCGACTAGGGTTCCAGGACAATATGGAGTTACGATGGTTAAGTGATGGTTAGATGCTTTGCTAGTGTCGGGTGTGTGGATGCCGGTGTTACGATGTCAGAGCGCTCAACTAAGTAGAATACGCCGCGGTCTACCTGTCACGCTTTTCACGTGCGGCCTTCTGTGCGGGTCCAAGCGCAGCTCAGTGATCGTCATCGGCTCTGCGACAGGTTCACGTATGTACTAGCGATGCATTTGCGACGCTGGTCCACATTGCTTATTCTAGCTCGAAACTCTTCCCTCGCTTCCTTTCACGCTCTCTCTGCTCTCACCATCCTCAGCCCTAGTTGACCATCTTCTCCTCATTAATGTCTATGCGCCGCCGGCTTGAAAGGGGAGTAGGGTTGCGGGGGTAGGGGGAGGGAGGCAAGGGGTACCCACGCGGCCAAGGTAAGACGGGACAACACCCTTAACTCAACACTGATGTTATATTCTCCGCAACCTTATCGCTGTGTTCACTTCTACCGCGTCTTTCTCTCTCCTCTCCTCTCTTCTCTCTCTCTCTCTCCTTTTACGCGTTTTTATCTCGTTCTCTCGTGTCCATCGCTTAGGTCGCGTTATGCTATATTACCGCTCATTCATTCCGTGTCATTGTCCAGCTCAGTCCGCTATTCCCGTTGCGCTATCGGGTTTGTCGAGCGGCTATTTCCTCTCCCGGTTAACCTTGCCGACTGACGGAGGAGGGCCTCGTAATCCGCGTCGCGTTTGTGGCGGCGCTGGGCTTCCGTTGTTCTCGCGTTTCTGGTCCTTCCTTGGGGTTCTTTTGAGGAGGTGGGGGGGGGGGGGGGAGAAGAAAGCTATTATTCTGAATGTACCCGTCGTTATCGCGGGCCGTGTGGGCGGGCTCGGAGCGGCACCGTAAATCCAGCGATTGTGTAATCTCTGCAACACGGGTTTAGTGGGTGACGCCGAGGTCGGGCTGCGGCGCTCAGCTGTTTGCTCCTGATGCACTGCCGGGTTCGAGGCTTTTTTGGCCCGCGCTTTTTTCATGGCGGCCGCAGCAGTGTATTAACATATTGTTTGTAACATTCTGCGCGTGTGTTTGCGCGGAGGAAGGCTTTAAGGGATGCGCTGCAGAAGGACGGGCGCCTTGGCCGGCGCAGCAGGACGGGCGGGGGTCAGATGACAGGGCTCCTGCGCGAGAATCAGCGCCGTGTTTTGCGTGCCATTGACTTTGTAATGCCAAGTGCGCGGCCCGGGGAAAAAAGTGTCGCCGAGGCTGTCCAAAGACGGAGGCGACACGCGATTCCGCCCACGGGATTCCCTCGCTCGCGGCGCGCCCTCCTTCCTCCGCCTCCTCCAGCCGCCTCCTCCGCCTCCCTCAGCCTCCCTCCACCTCCCTCCCTCGCCTCCCTCCACCTCCCTCCTCCGCCTCCCTTCCACCTCCCCTCCCTCCGCCTCCACTCCGCCTCCCTCCTCCGCCTCCCTCTGCCTCCCCTCCCCGCCGCCCGGGGATTTCGATGCGAACGCAGGCGGGGCCTCGGGCGGACTCCCGCCCCCTCGAGTGCCAGCCGCCAGTGCCACAGCGCTTTATTTGATTAGCCGCTCCAAGTCATATCCGCAACCCCCCCCCCCACTCCCGCATCCCCTATCCATCCCCATCCCCCTCCTTTCCCCCCTTCCCTCCCAATCCCGCCCCCCATTCGCCCCCTTCTTCTCCCCAACCTCCTTCCCCCCGTTCGCCCCTTCCCTCTTCCCCCCCTTCCCCCCTCTCCCCTCCCCTCCTCCCATCCCCTCTCCCCCTCCCCCCTTTCGCCCCCCTTCCCTCTCCCCCACACCCCTCCCCCTCCCTCCCCCTCCCCTCCGTTGGCTTTAATGAGCCGAGCGAGGTCGCGTGTCGGCAGCTGCGGCCTTTTCCGAGAACGACGTTACCACTACCCTCGCTGGGGACGCGCTCCCCTCACTCGCCCGTCTCCCCCACTCGCCCGTCTCCCCCTGACTCGCCCGTTTCCCCCCCACTCGCCCCGTCTCCCCTCACTCGCCCCCATCTCCTCCACCCATTTAGCCGTTCGCGCAACTCACTCACCACTCACCCACCTCGGGCGGGATTTCATACCCATTCATATCTCTTACTCATTCTTTTTCTCCGGCTTGCGCTCCCGTTTCGCACTCACTAACTCATCAATCCGTCGGCCTTTTAAACCCCACTCATTTACTCACTCATTTACTCGCCTCACTTCGCTCACTCGCTCACTCACTCCCCTCTCCTGGCAGCCACACCCTCGCGAGCCGCAGTATTTCTGCTGTTGTTGGGAGTTGTAGTTTTTATTAGTAGTATTATAAATTATTGTTGTGTATCACTTATGTCTATTGTTATTGTTTTGGTAACTATGAATTGTTTTGCTTGTCCCTGCTCATGTTATTTGTCATTGTTATTTTTATTATTATTACTATTATGATCATCATCAGTTGTAGTACTACTACTACACACCACTACTGTTCTTATTGTCCGTATCGCCCCCAACACAGCCTTCATGTCCTCCCGAGTGCGCATCCGTGTGCTAATTCCCGCCCCGTTTTTGCTCCTCCCCCAGAGTGCGAGATGACCAGGCGATTCGAGGCCGAGGACTCAGAGGGCTCCAACGATGCTATGTCACCATCCAAGGCCAAGGGTGAGTAGAGGGAGGGAAGGGGGGATTGAGGGTTTTACGGGGGGAGGGGTAGGAGGGGGGTGTATGTGTTTTGTTGGGAGGGGTGGGGGTTCTTGTGTGGGTTAAGGGAGAGAGAAACTCCTTTTTGTGTGTCTTTCTCTCTCTTTTCTTGCTCTCTCCTCTCTTTCCTCCTCCGGTTCGCTCTTCCTCCCCCCTCTCTCTCATATCTCTGTTTCTGACCCCCTTTTTTCCTCTTTCCTTCCCCTCTTTCCTTCTCTGGCCCCTTCCACTTTTAAATCGTTAAATGACGGCCTTAATTCCGAGAATTGGTGGGGGAGGAGGAGGAGGAGGATGGAAGGAGAGCGGCGTGAACGAAAGGCTCCTCCAGGTACACAGGAGATAGCGCGAGTTGTGTTTACAAGCCGCAGCTGAAGATTGTTGTTTACATTCCGTCGTGCCTCAGGGTGAGGAGGGGGGAGGGGAGGAAATTACACAAGGGACAAGCAGACAGGGAAGGAGGAGGAGGAGAAGAGGAGGAAGAGAGAGAGAGAGAGAGAGGCGAGAAGGGAGCAGGAGCAGCAGCAGCAGAAGAGGCGGCGGCGCTGAGGGGCTCTCGGCGACGGCCTCGGCGGACGGGGGGCACTCCGGCCGGGCAGCGAGTGTCCTGGCGGAGAGCAATTGGCACTTCCCGTGGGCGGCGCCGGGCCAGGAAGTGCCCCGCTGGACATAATCATGGCGGCCATCACTTTCATCCGGTGTGGGAGGGGGAGGGGGAGGGGAAGGGGGGTGGGCCTCCATCATGCCATACTTCCGCCCACCACACGCAGCTCCCCTCCAGTGCCCTTGCTCTATCTCTATTTTTTTCTCTATCTCTGGCTCTAGTTATTGCCTCTCTTCTATCTCCCTTCTCATCTCTCTCCTTTCTTCTCTCTCTCTTCTCTCTCTTCCTCTCTCTCTCTCTCTCTCTCTCTCTCTCTCTCTCTCTCTCTCTCTCTCTCTCTCTCTCTCTCTCTCTCTCCTCCTCCCTCTCTCTCTCCCTCTCCACTCTCTCCCCTCCTCTCACTCTCACTCACTGCACTCACTCACTCACCCATTAAGTATGCATGTGTGTGCGTGTATCCTCTCTTTTTATCTCTCCTTATATCTTATTTCTGTCACTAGGCTTACGGACAGGAAATTCCGTATTTTTTCTGAAGGCGAGATAAGATAATGGTAAACAAATGTATATTATCCCCCACACGACGATTTTTCTCTTTTTTTTTTCCGGTTACTGATAAACGCTATGAGAGAGAAGAGAGAGAGAGAGAGAGAGAGAGAGAGAGAGAGAAGAGAGAGAGAGAGACAGAGAGAGAGAGAGAGAGAGCTTAGAGAGAATTAAAATAGAGAGAATAAAAGAGGAAGGGAGGGAGACAGCCAGATAGACAAAGGGAGATGTGTTTAGCGACCCAGAGACGAGAAATGGGAAAAAAATAAAATAAAATGGTAAGAGTGATAAAAGGACGAGACCGAAATGCTGTCGCAGCCTAATTAATGCGTAAACCGAAGCCCGGCAACGGAAACAATGCGATAGTGTAATTACGCTGACACACGTGCACGTAATCATCCATGTCCTATTTTTATTCCTCGTACTCCAACCCCCTCATACCCCCTTCTGTTTTTCCCCCACTCCCCCCCCTCCTCTCTCTCTCTCTTCCCTCCTCCCTCCCTCTCCCCCCTCTCTCCTCTCTCTCTCTCCCTTCTCTCTCTCTCCCCTCTCTCTCTCTCTCTCCTCTCTCTGCTCTCTCTCTCTCTCTCTCCCTCTCCTCTCTCTCTCTCTCTCTCTCTCTCCTCTCTCTCTCTCCTCTCTCTCTGCATCTCTCTCTCTCTCCCTCTCTCTCTTCTTCTCTCTCTTCCTTCCCTCTCCTCATGCCCTCTCCTCTCCTCTCCTCTTCTCTCACTCTCTCTCTCGCTCTCTCTCTCATCCTCTCTCTCCTCTGGTCTCTCCTCTCTCTCTCTCTCTCTCTCTCTCTCTCTTCTCTCTCTCTCTCGCAGTGCCAGGCTGCCGTGGGTGCCAGGGCGCTCAGCTAGGACTCTCGGACTCCCGGACGTGTTCCTTGCGGGATCCTTAGTGTTCTAGATGTTTTTCCTTTTTTTCGGGGAGAAGAAGGGAAGGTGCAAGAGAGGAATGGGAATAAGAGAGAATGGGAGGGGAGAAGGAGGGAATAAAGGATGGGTGGACTAGATGGAATGGAAGAGGGAATAGAGATGAGCAAAACGAGTAATAAGAGTGGGAATGGAAGAGGGAATAGAGATGAGCAAAACGACAATAAGAGTGAATGGAAGGGAATAGAGAGGACATAAAGAAGGAAAGAGGAATAGCATAGGATGCAAAAGGGAACATAGATAATGAAAGAGGTAATAAAGAATAAAAGGGCAGAGTAGGAATAAGAAAGAGTATGAAAGAAGAAAAAAGAAAAAAATAACGAAGAAAAAAGTTGAATTAAAAAATAGAATGGAAGAAGGAAAACAAAACAAAAAAGAAGGAAAAATGGAATAAGAGAAAAAGAGAAAGAAGTAAGAAAGAATGAAAAAGGAGAAAGAAAAAAAAAGAATAAGAGAAAAGAACTTAAAAAAATGAAAATGAAAACTTTAAAAAGATGAAAAAGGAGAAAGAAAGCGGGAATAAGAGGTAATGAAAGCGAAGCGCCCGTCCACGCGGCGACACGACGGGGTGGGAGTGGGGGGAGGGGGGGGGCATGGGTAGAGACGACAGGGTGGGAGTGGGGGGGGGGCATGGTAGAGACGCCGGGGCAAGGGTCAGGTAGAGAGGAAGGGACAGGTGAGGTCCCGCGCCGAGCACGTCACCCTAACCCCCCATCCCCCTCATCCCCCCTTCTCGCCCTCCCTTCTATCACCCTGCCCAACTTTTACCCCCATCTCCCCTCCCTCTCCCCGTACTCCTCCCCTCCCGCCCTCCATACATCCATACCCAACCCCCATACCCCCTTACTTTCATACTCCCCCTCCCCCCCTATCATCATCCCATACCCATGCCCCTCTCTCCCCCCTTCTCTCCTCCACCCCTTCCCCCCATACCCATATACCCTTACTCTCCCCATACCCTTACCCCTCCCTCTCCCCCCTCCCCTTCCCCTGTCTGGTTCTTCATAATTTATGTAAATCCTCGAGGCTGCCGCACCTGTAGCCGTGTACGAACCTGCGCCAAATCTGACATTACTATATGTTTTTGTTATTTTTTGAAATCATTTTTTAATATTTTTTTGTCGCGGTGGCTATTTTTTTTAAAGGTTGTGGTCGAGTTCTGTTTTGTGTATTTTTTTTTTATGTCTTTTGAAGTTTTTATCTTTTTTTTCTTTCTCCCTTTCGTCATTTCTACATTGATTGTTATTGTTGTTAATCTCGTCTCTTCTCGTTATTGTTTATTGATGCAGTTGTTGTGATGATTATTGTGGTTATTTTTTTTTTAATGATTATCGACCTTTGATAGCCATAAAAACCCAGGCAAAACATTTTCGCCTTTCTCCGATGACTTACACTTTGCAAACATTAAAATTAATTGCCCATCCAGTGAGTCTGATCAACATATCTTTAAATGTTTATCGCTTGTACACCAACCGCCTCGTGGAAAAGGGGACCCATGATAAGGAAGTATTAAAAGACGCTGAAAACTGTTCATTTTTTCGCACCTGTGTTTATAGGTAGTGAATGGGGGGGGGGGGGGGGGAGAGAGGGGCAGAAGGCCCAGGTCTCGTTAACAAGAGTGAATTTTTAAAGGTACGAAAAGGCGGTCCGAATTAGTGTGCGTGTTGTTATTGTCTGTGTTTTTGTTATTGTCTGTTTTTGTTATTTTCTGTGTTTTTGTTATTGTCTGTGTTTTTGTTGTTGTTTTTTGTTACATACCAACGCCTGGTTATAAGTAATGGCATTATTTATAGGATCGTTGTAAATGTTTATTTCAGTGTTTTGAATCATAACGAGTGGTGAGTATGGAAATGCTGATGATTTGTGGAAAGTGCATACGAATGAATATTGATATTATGCTAATTATGGGGGGGATCTGGAGAAACGTGAAATAAGGGAGAGAGAGAGAGAGAGAGAGAGAGAGAGAGAGAGAGAGAGAGAGAGAGAGAGAGAGAGAGAGAGGAGAGAGAGAGAGAGAGAGAGACGAAGACGAGGCGAGGCACAAAATGCATGTAGATTGGCCGAGATGAAAGGGCGCGCCACTCTCACGCACCCCGAGACGCGCGCGCCATCTGCGGGTGACACGGACCCCACCTTCCCTGTCCCTTCCTCCCCCCCCTCTCCCCTGCGCCCCCCCTCCCCCCGCGGGTGGTGCGATCGCGGCCGAGCCTGTCACATGCGGCCCTCCGAAGTCCGCCGTGTGTGGTGCGGCCGCCGTGAGCTCCTCCTCCGTCGCCATCCCGACCCACGCTCGCCACGCTCGCTCCTCTCCTCCTTCTCCCCCCCTCCTCCTCCCTCCCTCTCTTCCTCCTCCTCGTTGTCGTGCTCTTCTTCCTCCTCCTCCTTAGTAGGCCTACGCGCGGCTCGGCGTCGGACCGCTCTTCCGCGCTGCTGTGCTCGCTCCCGCCGCCCCGAAAGTGTGTCGCTCTCGTCGCGTGTTGTTGTTCGTGTTTGTTTCTCGGCGAGACCTGCTCGGACGAGGAATCGGAGAGGGAGATAGAGAGACGGGAGAGCAGTGTGTGTTGGTGAAAGGAAAGAGGAAAGAAGCTGATAAAAGTCGAGAGAGAGAGAGAGATAGTGAACTTGTGATCTTGGAGGGACTCGAGCTGACCTCCGTCGACCCCTCCCGACGAGGCGTTCAACTCGACCCCCTCCCGACGAGGCATGAGTGTCCCCAAGGCCCCCGCAAGGACGAGGGCGAGCACGGGGTCCTTCTCGGGCGTCCCAGGCGATGCAGGAGGCCACGAAGGCGATAAGAGCGTCGCGGCGTTCGTGACCCGGACCGTGGAAGGGAATCCGAAATCCGTTCATCGTCATTAGAGGAACGGGATATATTGCAA